TTATTAGACCAACTGAGTAGTTGGAAAAAAGTTCTTGGAAAGCTTTCAGGCTCAGTCACCCTTCTGCAGGCATAGGGAGTCTCTGCTGTTCTAAGACTCCAAGAAATGAGAGAAGTTAAAGTGTGGCAAGATATTAGTGAAAATGTAAATAGGTAGAAATTAGAAAGATAAAAGGTAAAGCAAATAGTACACCATTAGTTAGGACATATATCACCCTTCCCTGGAACCTACTCAGAAAATCTTCAAACAATTGCAACCCATACTAGAAGAACACCAAATCTTAAAGAGATATTTCCAGAACCACCCATCCCAGCCTTCAAACAAGCACTGAACCTCACTAACGTCATCACCAGAAGCAAACTCCCTATGACCCTAACCATGCTGAGCGAGACCATTACAGGACAAGAAATGCAAAACCTACTAACACATTTCCACCAGCTCCACTATAACTACACCCCACAACAGATCTATCATCATTCCTGGATCTTATACCTGAACCTCCAGAAATGTTGTATATCTCATCCATGCCCTGATGGAAAATAAGTTGGAGAAACCAAACAACAATTTCACACCAAAATGAATGCACACCAAAAATCTACCATATTACCTGTAGGGACACACTTCTCACAGGGCAATCATTCCCTCTCCAATCTCTCAGTCCTAATCCTCAAAGGGAACTTACAAAACACCTTTTGTAGACGAGCCTATGAACTTCACTTTGTAACTCTACTGGATACAAAAAACCACAGACTCAATATAGACATTGGTTTTATGACGTATTATATCCTGCCTGACATCTGATTCACCAGACCTGCCTGAAGAAGGGTGACTGCATCCAAAAGCTTGCAAATAACTTTTTTCCAACTACTCAGTTGGTCTAATAAAAGATATCACATCTACTCAAAGAACCTTGCCTGCCTATGTCCTTAGACTAACACGGCTACAACCAAACACCCAGCAACATGAAATGATCTAGCTGGTGCACTTAAGGGTGGTAGGGGCAGAACCTCATCCTGTGTTCTGCTTTTTCCATTGTGTGGCCCCTCTGGAACCCTGGCCTCAACCCCTGTTGCTGAGGCTGCTCCTGCAGGGTCTCAGACCTCAGTGACCACCCTTGTGGCCCCTCCTGCTAGGCCCAGGAGCATGGGAGGAGCAGAGGTGATGAGTTGGGCTGCAAAGTGCAGCTCTGTCTGTGTGTCTGCTGACCTGCCCACCCTCTGCATCAAATCACATTGCTTGGAGCATAGTCAGGACAGGCCCAGGAGCTGTCACCCAGGGTCCTGGCACTGCATGCAGGAGTCGTTTGCTGTTGTCCTGGGCTAGGTCTTGCCTCCATGGAGTGGGCCCAGCCTGACTATGCACAGGGTGCTTGGAGGCAGGATCTGACCCAGTCAGAGGGCACATGGCCCCTGTGTGCGGTGCCCGGACCCAGGATGACAGCAAGAGAGGCCAGGTCCTTCCTGAAGGCACATACGCCCAGGCTGGGTTGGGTCCATGCCATGTGCCACAGGTGGCACCGGGTCTCAGGTGGCTAGGGCCATGCCGTGCTGTGGGGGTGCTCTGCCAGTAGTGGACCCTGAGAACCCTGATGGCTGCTGCTGTTACAGGTAGAGGGGTAGAGGGACTGTGAACATGTGGGGGGTGCAGTCGGGGGACCCACACTCACGCAGTCCCCCCCACACACAGTCCCCCCACCTATAGCCCCCCCCACCTCCACATCCCTATTTACCTTTGGCAAAAAACTCAATATCTTTACGCTTCATTATTTTTTGTGGCCAAAACTACCAGGAAAAACTTGCTTACTGTTGAAGCAGTGAGGCAGTGGACTAGACTGCCCAGGGAAGTGGTGAAATCTCCTTCACTGGGGGTTTTCAAGAGGAAGCCGGAAAAGCATTAGTAACAGATGATTCAGGAGTAGCAGCCCTACATTCACACAGAGGGATGGATGAGAAGGCTTTTGAGGTCTCTTTCAGCCCTATGATTCTATGTTTTCTCTTGATTTTGTTTTTCAGAAACTGTTAACTGAGTGAATAATGGTTTTCAGTTTTTAATGAAAGTTAAGTTACCTGACAACAGTTAACCACCATAAACATTTCCTTTTACATGACAACAAAAAGGGATGTTTGGAAAGACATTTTTCAAGCTGCTTTAGTTGCAGATTTCAGAAATATTTCAGCTTTAGAGCAAGCTGTATGTGAACAATTATTTTTTAAATAACAACATAGGTTGGTTCAACCATGTCTGCATTCCTGTTTATTTGAGTATTTGTAAACATGTGTGGAAAAAAAATCTGGAAAAATAATTGTTTCAGAAATAGCAGTCCTTCATAGGAATCCTTGTACTGACATCTGACACAGTTCGGCAGACTACCAGAGGGGCACAGAGGTTTGAATCACGTTGTAGGTAGGGATCTCTGAAATTTGCGTGGGAAGTGTGCAGCATGGCTGCTTCTTTAATTTTGCAGTTTCCCCCTTAGGCCCCTCTGTGCTGATTGGTGGAAGGGCCCCATTACTCACCACCTGTGCCTGATGATGGGGAGACAAAAACGGCAGCATATTTAAAACTGCAATCTTTGCCTCCCTGCCATCAGGCGTAGGTGGCAAGCGGCAAGCAACAGCGCCCCTCTGCCAATCAGCGATTGTGGGGCACTCAGGGAAACTCCAAGATTAAAGAAGCCGCCACGCCACACACTTCTGGCGCTAATTCTGGAGATCCTACTTGTAGGATCAGGGTTGCAATAGGTAAAAGATCAGTCTGCTGTTAAAGAATTTGCAACTAGAAAAAATCCAACTTCTGAAACAAGTTATTAGTAGTTACTGTTTGGACCAAAACTAGTAAGACTGTGGGTTTATTCATTCTTATTTTTGTCTGTTGATGTGTGTGAGCAGCTTTTGCAAGTATGTGTGTTGGGGTATACTGTGGATGACTTGTTTTGAGTCTAAGGTGATGACTTGCTGTTTATGAGAAGGCAGCATGTAATCTCTCTAGGATTGTAGAAACTGGAAAAACAAATGTTAAAGGTTCCTTGGGTCAGCTGCACCTTTTGGAAGGGATGTTTGTGCATTTGCTTGTTTTAGGGATTTTTCTTTCCTTCAAGAGAAAAATATGTGCTGGTGGCTCACTCTGGCAATTTCTCCTCCTTATAGTTTGATCCTTCTTCATATTTGTGACTGGCTTCTAGCTTCTCTATATGTAACCTGAAAACACCCTAGTACATCTGATGTCCACATTAATATGTTCTAGACAAGTCCTTGTATAAAAATGTAGATGTTCTTTCCACTTCTAAAGCTATTTTTGCCCACAGCTCCAAAAACACCTTACAAATATTAATGAGAGAAAGAAAGTTGTCCAGGTTCTTAGTGTCAGCTGAGAAATGTATGGTGCAATTCCAGAGAAGTCTTGCAAAAACGGCTTTAATTCATGATACTATGCATGGATCATTTCCCCCCCTCCCATCCATGTGTAGAATAGAAAGCAGCAACTGCATTCAGATACAGGTGTTAAATGGAGAAGGTGCACAAGATTCCCATATCTAGTTGTAATGCACTTGATATTCCAGTGAACAGAAAATAATATATGCATACTATAATGAAGAGAACTGCCATGTGTTGCTTTCTAAATGAAATGTCACCTTGCAAATCTGAGAAAAGTGTGAGTGGGAAAAGTGGTCCCAGAAAAGGATATTTTTATGTTTTGTTAGAAACACTGTTAAAAGTGTGAATGTTAATTTTGTACTTAATATAATGAATCCATGTGAGACCTAAAACTAGGTCATTCAAACCATTTATGAAATTGTCTCCAAGTTGTCACAAGCGAGCTGGCCCACAGTAAGGTGGGGACAGTATACAAGGGTTGTGTGACAGAGAGCATGTTATTAGAAACCAGCCTTCTGCCTGTGGTTATTTGAGGAAGCAGACTTAGACAGGGCTCATAGGGAGAGAGACCTGCAAGGGGCAGGAGTACGTTAAGAGGAATATTTCAACTAAGAGCTCTGCATGAAGGGTTTGCACTATGTAGGAAGCCTGGGAATGAACTCTGTGGTGTTTGCCTCTACAGTAATAAACCAGATTCCTAGCAAAGTGAGACAGCATCTATCATAGATGTTTGATTAATTTGGGAAGGGGAAACTAAGGCAGTGACAGGTATGTTTGCACCAGCTTGTTGTGAAAAACATGAATAGGAATCCCATTCCTACTAATGGAAGCACTTAAATCTTACATTTTTAATTTTAAGCATTAATTTAAGCTCTCATTTGAACCAGGATTTACATTTCCATTGTAAAGTGAACTTAAACATTTATTTTTGTGCTTGACTTTAGCCACTAGTGTTTCTCATTTTTCCTGAGCTGTGTTGGCTTAAGTAAGAAGCAAACCCATCAGAGACTCTTCCATAAGTCTAAGTATGTTCATAAGCCCTTTTGGGACTAGGCTTCAGGACTAAATTGTTCCAAAGACGTATGTTAATGTTTAGCCACATCAGTACAAGCCTTTTAAATATATCTGAGGTTAGATGATGTCCCTTGCCTGGTTATGCTATCCTCTGACTTTAAAAATATTACCTATTCCTATGACTTGTTTCAACTTTTGTAATGTTGAAAACTCATTTACAAATTTTATTCTCCAGTTATAAGGAAGACCTTCTATACAGTGCTAGCATGTATATCGACCGCAAGGTTAGCAGGACCCTCATTTTTGTCAGCAGTATGTTTGTGAGCATGCAGGTGATAGATCAGATGTAAAGAAAATCACTTCTGTAAAACCAATTTGCTAAGGGGCTTGTAAAATCCATTTTTAAAAAGTTACTGAGGCGAAAAAGTGAAGGACCAGCCAACCAGATATTTTGATCAGCTCTTCAAGGTCAAAAACTGATTACTAATTCATCAAATATCTTACTGAGAAAGCTGTTTGAAGAGCAAACAACTCTGTGCAGATGTTCCACCTAATAACTTTAATACCACAGGAAGATGGGCAGGGTCGGAACAAACAGAATTTTTTACTTACTTTTGGCAATGCTACAGTCATAGGAAATGTGGTCTTCAAAGCACTGGCATCCCCAGTCAGTGCACTGCCCATTCCCATTGCAGAAACTAGGGCACCTCAGAGCTCTGAGGATTTCTTCCTGGATAGCAGGCATCCCATTTTCTGCATGCAGCAGCTTGCTTCTGTTTTCTAGCACTCTTCTTTCACACTCGTTTTCCAAAAATGCTATCATTGCACCTTCCCATGCCAGGTCATCCTTGAGTTGTAAATCTAAAAGGCACATATCAATTGCCTCATCCAGCTGTGTTCCAAGTAAGTCATTACACACCAAGCCAATAGTAGAATTAGCAAGAACCTGCTGACAGATCTCCAAGGCTTTAGTTGAGGTTAGGCCACTGGGAGTAGGCCACATTGCCTGGATTTTTGGCTGAATCCCTGCAAAGTAATCCTCAGGAAAAAAATATGCAAAGCTTTCTGAGTCTGTTTGACTCGGGCTTTGAAATGGATAAAAAGGTGAGTGTTCAGAATAGTCTTCTTCCCTTTTTGCTCTCTGTAGCACTTCCTTTGGCTCAGTGGAGTTAACAAAGCTATTGATTTGGGGGGCTTTGAAGGAAACTTTTTGTGCATATTGTTTTAATCTGCCCTCAGGGCTATCTCGCTTTTTGACTGATGTAGGCAGATACCTTGGATCAAAAAATTTGGCCAACACTTTCCCATCACTTCTGAAAGTAGATTCTATTTCTGGGTGAGTGACAAATTCAGATGTAACATCTAGATATGGGATTGCAGAAGTATAATCCACATTGTCATAATGGCAGCGCAGAGATTGAGAGAAAGAATCCTGGAAGGTATTCAGCATGTTTACCGAGTGCAGGGATGCGGTGGATGCCTTCTGACACCTGCAGTAATTTTTCCTTTTCTCTACTTCAGAAGGTGCTGGAGTCCTGTCAAATAAACTCTTCCCTGGGGGCATTCTGTTTTTAAAAAAGAAGAGAAGTCAATGAAGGGGAGGTGAAACTTTCAACAAACTGATATATAATATTAAGTAAGCTTTCTTGTCTAAACTAGGGAGTATATAAGTTCCTCATTGAGTAAAATAGTGAGGAATAAGCTTTAGTTGGTGCAGGGATCGTCTCAGTGGTCTCCAGTCACTATTTCACACCCCTCCCTGAACTGCAATTCTTAAGTGCTAGGACTAGCAGATGCTGAAGTGCTTTGCTGGATCAGTGCCTAAATTCATTAAATCAGCTTGCAGAATGTTTTTAAGGTGCACATTTTTTCTGCAAAAGGTTATCTTTCTACATAAGTACATTTAAATAAGGTGTTGGATTCATCCCCGATGTAACATAGCTGGGGCCTGGCAGGTTACACCAAAGTAATATTTTTGGCTCAAAAAGTTCATTTTAAACACTTGCATTCATTTAACAGTCCTTGCACACCATACTATTACATCCTCCCTCTCCTCATTCAGAGCTTGATTTTTGCCTTAAAAATGTTATTGCTTTCAAAAGCATTTGTGTATGTGCTTACTTTAGATTTAATAAAATCTAAAGGAGCTTTTATTTTAGCTTTTCTGCTGACACTCACAACAGCATGATCACAACTTGATCATAAATGTGTGGCATCGTATTAGATATGATATAAGGTGTCACATAGGCTAAGACTATTTCCTTTTTTAATTTAGTCCAGCAGTAGTGAAAGTATTTCAGTTTGAATAAGCAGCTATTGAATAAGCAACCATGATTAAAGTTTGCCTTCAGGTCTCATGAGAAAGGGATTTTTAATGGTTTGTTGGTTATACGATACGAGTACGTGGACCTTTACAGTTATATACAATGCACTTCAGGCCCAGACCTTCCGGGTACTTTGTGGGCAGCCAGACTTGAAAATTCGACAGAAACCAAATTTTCTTGCAGGTTTTTTGTTTGTTTGTTTGTGCTTTTGCTTCCCAAATAAAAATATAGAAATTCAGTGTGTGAGGGGCTGGTTGGCTTATCCAGTTCAGCAAAAGTGGTGCATATGACTGTGGCTACTAATACAATAGTAAAACTTTATTGAACGTTGTCAGAGTGGTAGAGACAGAGGGAACCAGTCTCAGCCTATTCAAGGATGTCCCTTCTGTGTAAGAAATACAAGTACTTCTCTGGAACTTTTCTCACAATGAGCAGGAACAACAGAATAAAATTTCATTTCACAAAGAGGCTTTCATACTCATTCAATTGTACAAATTAAAGTTACTGAGCAGGATATTGGTACTGGAATGACAACAGGCAAATGCAGCAGCCAGTATGCAGCCCACGTTTGCTCTCAGTCTGTTTAGGACAAATGAAGGTGTTTTCTTGAGTGAGGGACTAATGAAATGACCTCCTGCCCTTTCTGAAAAGTGCAATGGAAACTTTAACTTCCAATAGAGGTACACCAGACACTTGCCCTGTTGCTGAATGGTAGTGTCACCAGGGAGTGAAGCTGCCTCAGAGGAAAGAGTCCCATTATGAGCTAAATTGTAAGGACATCTCAACTAACTAATGCAGTAGAATTAGGTCTGCTTTTTTAGAAATCCTCACAAAAACCATGGATTCCAGGGCAATTATTTTTAGAGTCAGCTGAAAAATGTAATTACCATCCATCAGGAAGTTCTTGTAGTTCAATATTTGTTTTCATCCCAGATCAGGACGAAAAGTTGAACTATCAAAACTTTTCTCACAGATTAAAAGCGGGAAAACATGGTGATTCAGAAATGTAAAAAAGTGTGTGTGTTTGACAATTTTTTGGTAAAAACACAAAACAAAGGTTTTTGACATTTTCAAATCAAAACATTGTGTCTTGCTTTGGTTTGAAGCCACATTCATCTCTGCATCCACCTGGCAGTAGGTGGGACTTTTGGTGCCTTGACTAATGCCCCATTCTTCAGCATAGGTACAGCTGCGCATCTCATCTTGAGCCATAATCTCTCCTAATGGCTGAGCCACTTCAGGTGTCCATGGGCGTTCCAGGCCATGATACGTTACAGGAGATGTCTGACTGGGGAGAGCGACCCATAGGAGAGAAATGGTGGCATGAAGCATCTGAACCATGACACCCTTGGGATACGTAACAGCAGCTCAGGTAGATCCTAAATTAAATAATGGTGATCCTAAATTAAATAATATATTTCACTTTAGGTCAACTCCAAAAAAAGGATGTAAGTACTTCAAGACCTGGAATACTAGTCTAGATACTAGCTAGATACTATTTTGTTGCTTAAAGTTACTACTCGGAAAGTGGCTGTTTAAAACATCTCCATGCTACTTTGGGCATTACAGCTGCTTGAAGGAGGTGGCACCCAGGGAAAGTACTCAACGGCCAGATGGTGCATTCGCACTACCTTCAGGTGCTGGTGAGTCCTCAAGTTCAGTGAGCTTTAGATGTCGTTTAAAATGGAAATAAAAACAGTAGCATGGAAATTACCCTGCGGGATACCACCCTCTACTTTTCCATTTTGCCATGGATATGCTTCAGTACCTTAGGAAATATAGTGAGCTTTTTACTTGATTTCCACTGGTTTTGGATCAGTTCTTTGATTCTCGATCCTTATTTCTACTTACTTAAGGACTGCAGCAAAATTACATGCATTCATTCTTCATTCTCTCAGAAACCCTTATTTTCCTCTCCTCAGCATGAGACCTCTCTCTAGTCCTGAAAACTTTTTCCCCCATAACAAATGGACAAGGAGTTTCCTTGCGTCTCTTCCGTATCTCTTTGAGTAATTGTTTTAATTTCAAATTCTCCACTCTTTTGAATATCTTGGCTAAAAGGTGGGACAGGATGTTCACATTTGAGCCACAACCAAAATAGAAACAGGCTAGGAATGACTCTTCTCAACAATTTCAACATGTCCCCTCTTGAAATCTTCCCAGTTCATATCTGATTAACACCCACGGTCTAGGAGGCACCTCTGAGTTGTGAGAAACAGAAAATCCAGAGACAGTTTACTCATGATTTTCTTTGTTAATATAAAGGAAGCAGTTGTGTCTCTTTAGGTTGAGTCTGGAATTGTGCTGCGCAATTATAGCTCAATAAACTCATCAGTTAATTAAAATGAATAATAGCTTCAGCCTATTTTACATAACTTGAATAGACTTAAATTATATGTGTTCATTTTCTAAAATTCAATACTTCTAAAGGATGTTTTATTTACAGGAGAGGTGAGCCAGATATGTAGTGACTAGATTCAGACTCACAATTAGAGCCGGGGACAGAGTTGAGGTAGAACCAGGTTCGGGGTTCAACTGTGCCAAATCTCACAAATTCTTACCCGAGGGGTGGAATCGCATGACATTAACTGACCTTGCAATATTGCTGCTGGCAGGCATCTCGTGAGAGCAGCTGTCACATCTGTCACAGATGCTGCTGTCCGTGAGACAATCTAACTGCAGTCAGACTAACACTGCAAAATAATCCCATCCTGGGATAACTTGGGACCAGATCCATTACGCCATATCTGTATTTGGGAATTTGGACCCAGAAATTCAACTATAGGAAAATGGGGTCTCCCTGATATGTAAAGGGGTCTGATTCCAGGGTCAGGTTCTGCATTAGGAAGCAAGTGTTTCAGAGGCCCAGTTGTCTTAGATACAAAACTTTTAGCAAGCGTCTTGCAGTGCCACACATTGTCAAAATGTAACATTTAATCTATAGTCACATATTTTAATTAGTGTTCAAGAATAAAAGACAAAGAGAAATGCCCCTAATTAATCCCCATTGTCATTTTCCACCATGGGTGTGAACAGCATATTCTTAACAGCTGAGTGGGATCTTAAACCAGCTGTTAACCTGACATCACTTGCAGATGGAAAAATAGTCTCTCGGTAACATTGCTGCTTATGTGTATTATACAGGCTGAATAATATGCTATCTTGCTGTTTAGGAGTGATCATGGGCCTCTGGGTCTCCCTTGGTAAATTAGGCAGAGCTCTTTCTCAGGTCATTAAAAGGCTATGTAATGAAGTAAATGTTTCAACACCCCTTAAAATGATATTACAGTACATCGCTCAGGTTTGGGATCCTCCAGCTTTGTACCTCCACTCTTCTATGAAGTCTTCCTCAGGCGTGTTTCTCTGTTGTGGTAGTAAAGGACTCCCACTGGCATTATGGAAGTCATTATGACGGTTCCTGTCAAAGATGCCACACAAACCTCTGGTGCTGTTAAAATCGATGCTTGGTGCCCTCACTGTCAAACTCATTCCCCACTCACTTACATCAGCTCGAACAAATGCTCCTGAGGGGAACATGATCTGAAGAAGCAGAAAAACCCAGTGAAATGAATCTATTAGCAAGTTTCTTTTGCAATAAAATAGCGTTCCCTCTGATAAACAAAGGAAGTTGGCTACTCTAATGGTAATTATATGTCCCGCAGACACACTGTCAATGTTTATTCACGGGATTATTTAGATGCTGTCTTTTTTTTTTTTGGTACTAATATCTGATGGCATCATGTACATTCACACAAGTTCTTTCTTTTTAAAATGAATAATTATACATTCACTGAAGTTTCCCCACCAATAAGTTACCATCTAATTTTTCAAGCAGCCACCATGACCACAAGACCACCCTTGTATCTTTGCTGCAGAAATTGTTTCTTTTAGATAAATTGCCAGGTCTGAAAAACAGCTTCCTTCTCTCTGAAAAATCTTTTCATTTTCCAAGGCTAGATTACACAGAAAATGTGGTGTTTTAAAGTGGATAAAGCAATTTTCTCATTAAAGAACTGGTGGCAGGCTTATGTTGACCTTTAAAAAAAAAATCTTGAGGCTTCACAGGAACAAAAGAAGGCTGTGCAAAGAAGGGGCTTTTCAGGTTGGTGGCTGAACTGAAAATTAAAAAAAATATAAAACTGGCTTGAGGTGACCCAAAATAAGTTTTTTGTTTTTTTCTTTTCACTCAGTTAAAGGAAGAAAATGAAAAATGTTGCTTTGCACCAAACCAAATGCTTTGTTTCAGACAAGATAAACATGCTCTTTAGTTTGTCCATTAATGAACGCTTCCCACCCTCCCTTGGTTAAGCATAGGTCCATTTCAATCCAAACATGTTTTGGAAACAAAGATGTTGAGATTAAATATTTTGACTTTTCTGATTTTTATCTCTTTTTCAATCAAGACTATGACAAATTATCATTCTCACCCTCCTATACCTACTCCAAATATTGTATTTATTGCTACATTTATTATTCATGCAAAACTTCTAGGTCTGTGAAAAAAATAGCTATTAAACTTTTCAGTGTCAGAAATCTGGGTCCTAATTCTGACTTTGGTCATCAGAGATTTGACTTAAGCTGCAAATAGATGTCACCTTTGTGCTACCATAATTTTTTTTTTTTTTTATGGCAGCACACAGTAAAAATAAACAGGCATCCGTGTTCTTGTCATGTCACAAATGCCCCAATTTCTGGCTGTGACCAAAGGCAAAGGCTTTCATTTCACATAGAGGTTGTGGACATCTCTTTGTTTCAAAGCAGGAGAGCACAGGCAACCTGGTGGCCCTCGGGAATTTCCCTGCAGGAGCACCTGCCTAGATTTCTTCATTTGCAGAGGTATGACCTGAATCAGAATCCGTGGGCACACCGTTTCAAGTGGGGAACACTGGGTTTACCCTTTTACAGAGACATGCCCTGACTGTTGCCTTACAGAACTAGGCCTCCGAAGCCCTGGCAGCAGTGGGGGCCCAACCCTGTGGGATAACAGGCAATGTCTGGTTTACCCAACGAAGCGGCACAGCTCATCTGCTTCGTTTGGAGACATTTGTTTATAGCCTTATAGTTATAGTTTCAGAAGTTACAAAAGTGATCTTTGAGTGACTGTGTCCTGCGATACTCAAGTAGAGAGACTTTGGGTTTGGTTTTTCAGACATACTGAGCACTTGCAGCCCCTCCTAGTTTCCAATGGTATTGTGGATGCTCAGTATTTCTGAGACTCGGGTCCAATGCATTTCAAGCTCAGTACCTAAAATCAGTACCCACTTTTGCAAATTGTGGCCTTAGCCAATAGTGGAAATTATCGACAACATATAATCAGCTCATAGTTTGGCTCATGATTTCTTTTCTGCTTAAGGTGCTGTTTTTCCCCCCTTGAGGTCAACAATAGAACTCATTGAGGAGTTGGGCACAAGAGAGGCCTGAACTACATTATAATAGGGTGCAGCAGATTAAGGTTGAAGCCTGAACTACATTATAATGGGGTGCAGCAGATTAAGGTTGAGACAAACTAATGGAATGGCAGGAGAGTGTTTGCTGTGTCCAGATAGCAAGCCAAAACCGGTTTGAGTAACTCAAATAATTCATTCCGTTGAGTAAAATGGACAGGATTTAGTTAATCCATGCCTACTTTGGTTAAACCATCCCTAGTTAATCCCTTGCATTCATAGAAAAGTAATTAAAAAGGAAAGACAAGTTCAAGAAGTTTATTTTCTTAGTGTTACACAACTAAATGATAGAATGACTTGCTATGCTAGAATCTTGCTTGTAAATTAATGTTTCCTTAATTTTGAATTTAATTGTGTCCAGGGCAGCTGCTAATCAAAGCTTCTATGCTAGTTACCTCCTTGAACCTCCTTCAAGCTGTTAACAGCTTTCTTGGGTATGTCTATACTCCTCCAGACTATTAGGGATTGCCATAATGAACATGTCATCCATGTGCAATATATCCCAAACTGGAAATAGTGTAGTCACCTTAGTGCAATTTCAGGCATCTGGGTGCTAACATTCTCTCCTAGTGCTATATTGAGGCAGTTTGTACCCAACTTTTGTTTAAATCCCTCTCAAGGATATCATAAGTGTACATGCATGTAGTGTTCTGCAATATTTGAACTAAATTGTACCCTAACTTGTGTGCCACAGGTCCAAACTCCATTTGATTTTAAACTCCAGTGGAATCAATGGGATACCCCACTGATGTGGCTTTATTCCAGAAGTCAAAGGAAGTGACTTGCACAGATATCAAAATATCTTTTGATATTTTTAATAAAGATTATTCCAGCTAAAATCAGGGATACTGTACTCAGTTGTAAAATGAAATAAAAGCAGTTTTCCTGCTTTTGCTTCCATTTGTGTAATTAAAAGCTTCTAACTGCTATGCTATCAAGAACTGCTCCAAATGAGAGCCAAACAAAAAAAATTCTCTGATATAATTTTGGCTTCTTATGGCTCTCTTCTCACCCAAAATATTTTCTGGCAAGAAATATTGATAATGCAGCCTTAATACTGAATTATTTTCCTAGATCCCTACTATGGCACTTATCCTCCAAGCAGCAATCTAATACTGCCTGAACTTGCTCTTCTAGTGGCTATAAGGAACACACTCAGGATTACAGATTTGTAACATGGATGAAAGCTATTCAGTGCAGACTGGAGAGTATATTTATGCCTATCCCCTTTTCCAGCAAGTATTCTTGCTAAGGGAAATTCATTGCAGGGCCATATTGAATGTGTTTAAAGAATATATGGAAATAATCTATGATCACTGCTTAGTATGATATGATCACCACTATTACCTACTCGTTAGTGTCTACTACACCTGTCTACATGAGAAGATCTACCCAACACAATGCAGTCCCCTCAAAGTTAGTCAACTAGCTTTTTGATTATGAGCTTTTCAACTTTGACTTTGTTATACATGTGAAAAGTGTTCAGCGGAAAGGATGGGAAAAGGGGAAGGGAGTTGTCTTTTGTATCACTGTGATACAAGTAATAAATATTAGTTTTATGGCTTAGGTATGTGTCTGAGCAGTATCGTTTTGTTTTGTTGTACACACGGTTAATTTAACTCTTTAACACGAAAGGGCAATCAACATTTTCAAAAGACAAGAAAAGAAATGTGAAGATCCACCTACAGTAATTTTTCTCTCTCCATATGACTTCATGATTTTGACGCGTGGCGATGCTTCTGTGCTTTTAATGGATAGCTGAGGTCTGGTTTCGTGAAACTGACCATTGCACATATCCAGGACAACGATGTCATTAGCTTCCCGCACAGCTACGCCGCAGTTGCAGGCAACAGCATGACGGTGACTTCCGCAGTCCCACTGACGGACATGCACCTCAAACACACGGGCCAGGCTCTTGGACAAAATGAAGGTTCCAATTTTATAATTATCATAACGCCTAAACAACAATAAACAGAAACAGGATTTTGAGACCCAGGGTATACATCTATGATGGCTGTTTGTTTGTACTCTAATAACAACACTCCTTAATTAGGACAGCATGGTGCTGGCCTTGGAAGAGAAAGAAAATCAACGCATGGGGAAGCATTTATTCAGCACCAGAAGCAAGCTAACACCACTAGAGTTATTAGCTGGAAGTGTACAAGAATTCATGTGAGAAGCTGGTAGCTAAGAGTGGCTGCTATGGCAACGGGCATGGATAAAAAGGATAAACATTTGATAAAAGCAAATGGGGAAAAAATCCCTGCCTCCAGGCCTTAATAAATATGTTTTGGTTCTAACTGGATGCTTTACAGCATGATATTCTTCAAAGCAAAATCAGTGCTCAAATAACACCTTCTGTGACTAATCACTACATTTTTACAAGGCTGACTGTGGCTAGGTGAATATTTCATATGAAAAATTAAGATTCAATTGGAAGCCTTTTAAAGTGAAATCATTTCCCCCCTTTCAGAACAACTTCACTATAACATAAGTTTCAGTATAACTGGATTTGCAGTTGGTACATTGCAGCATCAAACAATTTGGAACTTTCATTCTAGTCTGTTACAAATAGAGTTTCATTCCATGTGAATTCACTGTGGGATTAATTCTGTACTTGATACCCAATTTGTGTTATTCAGGCAAAATTCCTGTAGACTGAACAGTGACTTTTGCTTGAGTAATGACTGCAGGGCTTACAAGGGATCCTTTTTTACTTTCAAAATACCTGCTTTTTCTAACATTTTAACCACTTATTACTGTTAGTCTGCATTTTACTCCAAAAAATTTGGGGGTATAACTAGAAGAAAGAGTAGTTGCATGATTTATGGAGTTATTGAGGGATTTCCTTCTGTGGGCCAGTTGCCTGCTATCCTTAGAAACGGCTTCCTTTTAAGCAGCTACATTTATTTTTAAAATACAGGGGTTTTTTTTAGGAAACTTCATTCAATAGAAAATAAACTTATTTTTCTTTTTCTCTGAATATTTACTATAATGTAAGGAAAATGTGAAAATAATTTCAAACAATGAAAACAAAAAACAGGAAATTTTAAGAAAAGGATTCTGTTTACTGTTTTCTTTCTTGATTCATTTTTTATTTTTCTGCTATTCCAGAGAAGCAAATAGGCTTTTCTGCATACATGCTGAAACCAGAATAAGGTTTTTTCTTTTTAATATATATATACCAGGAGGTTTTTTTCTTTTCACAATTAAATACCACAGAAATACGGAGTTCACCTGTTTATTCCTATAAAAAAGTGCATTGCCTTTTTACTTCCTCTTGAAAAAGTCAAAAACGTTGGCTATCATGAGCAAACACTATTAGTGGATGTCTTCTCTTTTCTAATCACCTCAATAAAAACTAAAACATACTGTTAAAAATGTTGCAAACATCCTATTAGAAATAAAGACAGCATAGAGAAACATAACCTCAATCAATGTCAAGTGCTAACCCCTTTGGGAGCTACCCACAGGTGGGAAAAGGAGGTGCCATAAAATACAGTCAGAATCATCTCTAGTTTTCTTCAAACAGTCCTGTTCATCTGGAGGCATTTTGGAAGAAGGGGTCATGGAAAAGGTAGGGTTACAGCATCTTCTGGTCTCGTAAACTATAGGACTGTGTTACCACAAACATGCAACTATAATTCATGCTAAAGAGAACATTTAATTTAATAATGAGCATAGGCTATGGGCCCATTCAGACTCTCGGTAAAGTCACTGAAAGTCCTTACGTCATGCCCACGGATCATGTAATATGTCAGGTTTGCAAAATGTCTTCATTTTAAAATGGAAATGTTATCTGAATTTGAATTGCTTGAATGAAGTATTGAATTTAATCAGATAACTCATAAAATTTTAATTGTGGTGATCACCTCTGGGCCGGCACAAGGGAAATTGAACAAGAAACCTCCAGAGCTAAAGAGCAAGGGTTGGTAGTTTAGGGCTGTAACAGCTCATAACCTCTGTGGAGTTAAACAGAATGAGGGGTGTAGGAAAAGATGGGGGTTTTTGCTCATCCAAAAGGATAAGGTAATTCACCTACACGCATTTTTATCTGTTAACCTGACACAGTGGGCTACTGTACTTTACTATTGCTATACTGAGTGTCCTAGGTGTTGGCTGTACACAGGCAGCAGCAGTGGCTGCTCCAGCACGAGATCAGCAATACTGGCAGCACAGCCGTTGGTCTTGTTGGACCCCCTCCTAGGATTGGCACCCAGGGCTGGTGCACTGGCCACCCCTCTTATGTTACACCCCTGGTTATATGTTTCTAAGGATATTGCTGCACACATTTTCTCTTCTTTTGCCACTCTCACCTTCTCCATCTTCCTATTAAATTTATTTTATTGCTGCTGTTTCTGCTTCCAAAAGTTCAGCCAGGGAGAGCATTGCTTATGATTAACCTGCTCGCATATACCTAGGATTCCTTCTTTCCTTGCCAGTGAGAGGTGTTTTATACTACTTCTGTGCCCTAGACAGAGTTTAGCAAAGGATATATCCCAAAGAGAGAATATACACATTTCATTTTCAATATTAGGAATTTCGCTAAGGAAAAATGGTCAGATGGTTTAAACAAGAGGACCTTTTTCTTGTGGAAAAGAGGTTTTGTTATTTTTTCCTTCTCAACACTAATTTTGAAAATCAACTTTTAGAGCAACTTACTAAAACAACTTATAGAACCTGAGGGACGATGGAGTAGAGGGCAAAGCATAGAACTGGGGGCTAAGAATTCAGGATTTCTCATAATCACTCTAATCCTGATTTGGTGCATAACTTAGAATCAGCTCTCTGTATGAGTTTTCAAACTGAAGGTATCATTTATCTGCATCACATGGCTGTTAGGAGACTCAAGTCCAAAGACCCAAGGGGGCTGAGTACATAAATAAATAGCATCACAAAGGAAGAACACCTGTGAGGCTTGGGGAGTGGTGTAAGGGAGATATGGAGCCATGCAAGCAGCCCTTAAGGTGACAGGTGCCCAGCAGAGGTATAGACAGGCCAAGAGGGCCTATTAGCCTGACGGTGCAAGACTGTGACAGAGGACTTGTGGGCTTTCTGGCCTGGCTCCGCTTTTCCCTGGGCACATGGACCCTCTGTGGGTTCAAAATAAAACGAAGGCCACTTGCCTGTAAAACCCTACCTTCATCTGCCCAGGTAACCTGGTCCTGACGATCACCACCCCAGAATGCTGAGGGAATTAGAAGAGGTCATTGTGGGACCCCTGGCACGGCTTTACGAGCAC